GTATAAGGTTATCATAGGCATCTTTTATGGAGTTAATATATGACAAGAACAAAGACTACATAAAAAAAGATCATGTCTTTTTAATTATGTGGTTGTTGTGCTTGCAACCATGTAAAAATGTGTATTTTTATACAGTTGTAAAACCTATAAAAAGGTAAAAACATCAATATTTCTGAAATTTATACAGTTGTAAAAGCCATATAAAAGCATTTATTTCAACCGAGTAAAATGCTACATTCTGTTTTGATGATACAATCCCTTGATATCGTTGTTCTAAAAGTGGCCCCACGAACCTAGTATTTTTCACCAATTTGCATCAACTTTTGTGTTCATTGTGTGTTGTGTTTGTTATCATTGTAGGCAACAAGTTGCAACTTCATAAGATTCCACTCCTATAAGTATTTCATCAGGAGTTACCTATAATCATCCAGTCCATTCACTTAACATCTACAGGATCAACACCCACTTTTGTTATTTTACAATCGTGCTCTTTCGTTAACCTTTGGGACACCTCAATCGATTGGACATTAGATTTGCACCTCTTTCCACTCACTGATTCGAGCCCTCTCACGGTCATGGAACATTTTCCCAGATGTATCCCCATAAGATTAGTTGTGCAGACAAGATGACTAGTATACCCATGGTTATCGAAAAGAATAAAACAATGGTCTTCAATTTGGTTTTCAATGTAACATTTGGTGGACATTCTTTACACTTCATCGTTATATGCTAATAAAGCAAACCTCTACCGGATTTATTTTTGATTTCTAAGGTAACAATCCTTTCTGAATACTATCCACCCCTGACAAAAAATAATTAAAAGTTGATGGAATTGATCGCGAGTTCAACCAAACATGATGTCATCAAAGAACCAAATTTCTTGTAATAATCTATCGGGTTTTAGAATGCATATTTCTGAACATAACATATGAACAATACCTCCCAAATGGAATCATTAATAAAGACAAATTTGGTCTAAGTAATATTTGTACCATTTCACAATAGAACATAAGAGTGGATCAACTACAACCATATTGGTTTTCATTGGTGCTTAAGTTAAGCTACTAAATAAATAGTTGACCATGCATGTGACACTAGAGGGGATGATGCTTCAAAAAATTTAAGTTCATGAAAGAACATGGATGAAGATTAGTTAGATTGGGTTTTAAAAAATTTGATGTCATATACTCTTGTATTGGTTCATGATATTAATTATAAATTTATTAGTGCCAGATTAAAGATGTTAGGTTTGTTAAATGTGAGGTTATTATGTTTTCTATAACCATGTGTGTCTTGAAGAGTTTGTGTGCAAAGTTAATGAACGAGATGGGTGTCTAAAATTAATAGTCAGACAAACTCTTCAGTATCCTAAAAATATGAACCCTTATGATGTGCTTATAAAACAAAAAATACATGTAAAAAAGTTTCACACTGTGAAACGAACACTATCAAACAGGTCCACATTTCTAGTGGCTATATCCGCTTTTTTTTTCCTGCCGGAATACGGTCCACCAGAAATTTTCCCCCAGTTTTTTAAAAAAATCTTGATTAAATTACGAAAATATTTAAGTTTATTTTTTAAATTGAATTAAATTACCGACGGATATTTCTACTAGAAAACCATCGGTAAATTTATCCGCTGGAAAATTGATTTTATTTTTAAAATAATTAGTTTTATTCTTTAACTATGTCCGACTGATATGTCCGTCGGAGATTTATTTTATTTTTAAATAATTATTCTTATTCTTTAAATAAAATAATTATTTCCGACGGATATATCCATCGGTAATCTGTCAGAAATTTATAAAATTATTAATTTTAAAATATTTTTCCAGTAAATATTTAAAATCTGAATTTAAAACTTGTAAAACTGTAAATATTAAAAAAAAAAGATAAAAAAATGAAATGTCACTAAATATCATACATTAAACTAAACAATAATTATCCCAACCAATTTAAAGTAGCACACAATTGTTCCAAACAAAAACTAAGATGTTCCAAACAAAAAGATAATATTCAATATGGTGGCTGAGTGAAATGCTGACAATGACTGAGCTGTCTGACCAAAGCAGCTACATCTTCAAGTTGTTTATCCCGTCGCTCGTCCTCCGCCCGCCGTCGTTTTTCCTCCTCCTTCGTCCATCGACGCGGATTGTAAATCTCTAAGTTCGGTCTTTAAGGCTTCAATTTCCTATAAAATAAAGAAAACATTATAATATTTAATATGAATGATAAACTAAATCGATAAACTAAATCAAAGGAAAAGAGGCACATACCTGACTCTCTGAAGACGATGGACCACCTTGTGTGTAGTTCCCAGTCAAGACCTAATTGGGATCCTTGTTATACTCAAGCCCAAATATATGATCTTTCTTGCTTCCCCCAACCGCATGCTCCCACAACTTTGTATCAACTAAGGAATAAGTGGAGAGATCATTGCCGAATCTTTGGGTGAGACCAATTGAATAGTCATCCTATATATGGTTAAAAAAAATTACAAGTCAATTTTGACAGCATAACGGCTGTAAATGGGACATTTCTAGACAAAACAATAGTGATACATATGAAATTTGTAACCAAAAAAATCATAAAGTTTGCCCAACAAATGGCAACCGAAACTAAATATTGATACATATGAAATTTATAACTTAAACAATCTTAATTTTTTGCCTAACAAATGAAAATCCAAACTATATATATACATATATACACACACACACACATATAAAACAAACACATTGTGAAACAAATATTTGTTAATCGATACATTAAATAGTATGCCTAGATAAAAAAAATCATATGAAACAACACATGATGCACAAGTTTCCAAGGTTATCACAATTTAATGGATTCTCAAATGATTAAGCCCATATATGTGTGTGTGTATATATATATACACACACATAGATAGACTTGGGATCACGTGAGACCAGCCTGTTTTCGTGAGACCCGTGATACCACCTTTTTACACTTGAAACTTCACAGCAAAACGTTGTAAAGGCAATCTTCACAGTGTTTTGCTGTGAAGGTTAGGCCTTTTTACCTTCACAGCATTTTGCTGTGAATTTTCAAGTGTAAAAACATGGTCTCATGGGTCTTACGAAAACATGCTAGTCTCATGTGAACCCAACTCTCTATATATATATATATACATACATACATATATACATATATATATATATACACTCTACGAACAACATAGATTTGAATTTTTATATATTTCGTGTATTTTATGTACATGATTTGTGTATTTATACTGAAAAAATCAATTTCTTGAATTTTGTTTAAATAAATTATAATCACCGGAGGATGATAGAAGGACACGTCATTGACAAATGTGAGAAAATCCTTTAGCAATCTGTCATTAATTCTTCATTCGGAAATCCTTCGGTAATGGCATCCTTCAAAATTCCGTTGGTAATGGCATCCTTCAGAATTCTTGGCATTCTTCGGGAATCTGTCGTTGGTGATTTCCTTCATAAATCATTTGATGATATTTTTCCATAGCATATAATCCGGTGATTAAAAGTTATTGGAAATTCTTTTTAATGATATGTATCTTGCCATCATAAATGGTCGACGGATCACCGAAGGATAGTGCCTTTATCGATGGTACGTTAGTGAGAGCATAGCCCTTCAGTGAAATCCCTATAAAAGATAGTGAATAATGATATTACTATTCAAAATAAGTAAATTTCTATCCAAAAACATGCTGCAAAAATAAATATTGTATACTTTTAGGATAATAAAAAAGTTATAAAATATATTTTCAGGATAAATTGCATGAAAATAGAAGATATTGTAAGTATTGATGTGTAATTAGGTGTAAATATGTATTTAAATATTTAATATTTTTCTTCATATTAAAATAAATGTCCTAAAAACAATTTATCAAAAATAAAATACAATTTGTCCATAATTTTGATGGAAAGTGAGATAACTTTCTCATATCCGTTTGGTTGTCTTGGGTGCATTACAAACATTCACATTCATCGTAACTTTTTCTTTAATATATAGATGGCATGTTATGCGTTTGGCCTTCAATTCATATGTAATCCATCATCACAAATATGAATATTAAATGATTTTGCCATTTTCTGATATTTTGATTTAACCTTAAAAAATATTTATGTGTGTTTAGGATTACTTATAAAAATAATTTATTGACTTATTTCATTATGAAACCAGTAGTAAGCACTTTTGAGTGTTTGGATAAATAACTTATATCAGTGTCAAACCTGTAATAAGGGGTTTTGGAAGAAGTTAAACCATTATAACTTATAATAAGTTGATAAGTATTTTTGTATGAAAGCATAAGTTGATAATGACTTGATAAACATGAAAGCTTTTTCTATATTTTTTTTAAGATTATGATTTGATCTAAAAAAATTCAAACAACACAACCCATAAATTTTCAAACCTTCTCCTTGTCTTTTTGGTGTGGGAGGACAAGATAGTTGAATACAACTTTGAAGGGTTTATTCCATTTAAAGATTTACAAAGATTTAGCTTGCGACAGAAGTGTACATGTAATGCCTGGGTGTTGTCAAAAAAACAACTTTTGTCGTGTACAAGTTCTTGTTAGAAAGATTGGCCAAAATGCAGTTGGCAAGCAGATAAAAAAATAACATCAATATTACTTGGTAAGGGTGTGTGTGTGTGTAGTTGGGAGGAAGAAACAATGCCCTCAAAACTCAATCTATGTCAAGGTGTCATCTTGCAGCGTTATGTACAAAGCTTTCCCTCAATCTTGTTTTGCTTTTTAAGGCCACCCTCCATTTCTGCAACACCCACAAGCTTTTCTCTCCATCCTCTTCCTTTTCTAACTCCAAGATCCTTGCTTTCCCTAGCTCACACATCTTATTACAACCATGGTAAGTCATCACATCTCTCTCTCTCTCTCTCTCTCTTTATCTATCTCCATCTTTACATATATATATGTGTGTGTGTGTATATATATATATATATATATATATATATTGTAAGTTAACTGTGCCCAAATGCAGGGGGAGGAGAAACCAGAAACGGGTTACAAATTACTTGGCCGACTTAACTTCAAGTCCATTCAACAAAAGGGTGGTTTCAGAGCTTCGGGTTTCGTCTTTGGTAACCATATATACTTGTTTGAATTTCATAGATACGAGATAAAATATATTAGGATCCAAATTTCATATATATATATATATAGTAGGATTCAAGGGAAACAAAAGGGTGGTCACAGTCCCATTATTTACAGAAACTGCTATAACTATCGTGAAGCTATTGGTGATAAAAGGAACAAATTTTAAATTGGCAAACAATAGAGAATATGGTTACTTTCTGAAAAGTTTTTCAAACAATTCTCAATACAAGCTTATATAAATGTATCAAATGTATATGTAAGAACATAAGAATAAATGATTCATGTATCATTGTTAAACACAAGATATCGATTTGAAGATGCATATGTGAATCCACATATCTGTTTACCGGTTATTTGAACCTTCCCTTGTATATGAATAGTATAATACTACTTTAAGTAAAAGGTTCTCTTTCATTCGACGCCAGCTTCCCGTTAGATTTTTTTGGCGGACCCCTAGTTTCTGAAGAATTCTCGTGAGTTTCCACTATCAATTTACATTACCAATTTGTTATCCATCCAAATAAATCAATCACATGGTACCCCTTTTTTCTTGTTACATTTATGAAGAGTTCATCTTTAGAAAGCTGTTTCTGGATACTTTATTTCATGTAGGTCGCTGTTATAATTTTCATTTGAATCACACTTCCTTGTGGGTGGCAAAAGTTTCATCTCTGGGTGTGGTTTCCAGAATTTTGATATACCCATATAAGCCAAAATATAGAGTAGAATTTAGAAGTCAACCTGAAATGCAATGTGCTTATTATCATTTTTGGAAAGTTAATGTTAGTAGAATTGAAATAATATGCATTAGCACTAAATAGCATGCGTATAAATTTGCAGGATTGGTGGCATTGGAGAACATGGGTTTCATATCGAACGTACTGATAATGTTCTCATACTTCATGGCGGATTTGAGTTTTAACATCCCCGGGGCTGCCAACACTGTCACGAACTTCATGGGCTCAACTTTCATTCTCTCAATCATCGGTGCTTTCATATCCGACACTTTCATCTCCAGATTCCAAACTTGTCTCATTTTTGGAGTTGTCGAAATAGTGGTATGCAGACGCAGACAACTGTCAAATTAAAAGCAGAAAGATTTTCACTAAAATATGGTTACAACTGAATTATATTTTTTGGGATTGATGGCAGGCTTTCATGATGATGACAATTCAAGCACATGACCGTGGTCTACATCCAGAACCTTGTGGTGGTAAGTCGAGTTGCATGAAAGGAGGGATAGGAGTAATGTTCTACACTTCGCTAGCATTGTTAGCATTAGGTTCGGGTGGTGTTAGAGGAGCTCTTGCGGCTTTCGGTGCAGACCAGTTTGACACCAAGAAACCAAAAGAACTGAAGGCCCAAGCGAGCTATTTCAACTGGCTTGTGCTCAGCACCACCTTGGGTGCCGCCATTGGTGTGGTCGGGTTTGTGTGGGTTAGCACCAATCATGGATGGTGGTGGGGCTTCTTTTTAGCTACCCTGGGTAGTTTCTTGGGTTTCACTTTATTTTTCCTGGGGAAACCATTCTACCGCATTCATGTTCCAAAAGACAGCCCCCTTCTTAGTATTGTCCAGGTATTCTCCCTCTCCTACATATATATATAAATATACATATATATAGACATCCACAAACAACACATACATGCGTACACACACACATGCTAACAACTCATTGGTGCATGAAACATACAAAAGATTGTACCAAAATGTTCCGGAGTTCTTTCTGACAGCAAACTTCTTGGACTTGCTACAGGTGATTGTAGCAGCTGTAAACCACAGAAAGTTAAAACTACCCGAGAATCCTGAAGAATTACATGAGAGTAGCACAAATAACGGTTTGAGGGAGCAAAAACTCACTCGAACCAGCCAATTCACGTACGTATTACTACCCTATTTGAAAAGAGAATTAGAAATTGAGCTGTTTTATTATTTAGGGTCGAATATGAGTTACATTGTTCTGTGAATAAAGCTACAAAACTGAAGCTCGCTACCTTTGATCTTCTGCAGTTGGCTGGACAAAGCAGCAATTGTGCCAAATGATTCAAAACCAAGTGAACTTTCACAATGGGAAATATGCACTGTGACACAAGTGGAAGAAGTTAAGATCCTAATAAGAATGCTTCCTATCATACTAAGCACCGTCATCATGAATACATGCTTAGCCCAACTACAAACATTCTCGCAAGCCCAAGGAGCCACCATGAACAAAAAACTCGGCAAACTTAACTTCCCAGCAGGCTCGGTTCCTGTAATTCCCCTTGTATTCATGACGGTTCTCCTTCCGGTTTATGAGTTCTTCTTTGTACCATTTGCAAGAAAATTTACCAAACATCCTCAAGGCATCACCCAGCTCCAAAGGGTCGGGGTTGGGCTTGTTCTCTCTGCAATCTCAATGGGAGTTGCAGGCATTGTGGAAGTAAAGAGGAGAAACCAATCAAGAATCAATCCATTTGAGCCCATTAGCCTCTTTTGGCTCTCTTTTCAGTACGGTATTTTTGGAATTGCGGATATGTTCTCATTAGTGGGCTTGCTTGAGTTCTTCTACAAAGAAGCCCCTGTAGGGATGAGATCACTCGCCACTTCATTCACATGGATATCCATGTCGCTTGGGTACTTTCTGAGTAGTGTTTTGGTGGATATTGTGAACTCTGTTACAAAAAGAGTGTCACCAAGCCAAAAAGGATGGATTAATGGGATTATGTTGGACAACAACAATTTGAATTTGTTTTATTGGTTGTTGGCTGTGTTGAGCCTGATAAATTTCGCAATTTACTTGCTTTCGGCCTCACTGTACAAGTACAAAAAGGAAGATGATGGTTTGTTGAAGACTGAAATGGCTTCCACAACAACTAGTCTTGCCATGATCAGTGCAAGTGAAGATGAGTTGCCAAAAAGTACAACTCAAGAAGACGTTGCAAAAGATGATACAACTGCTGAACCAAAAGTGGATGTTAAAGATGAAAAAGAACATGAAGCTCATTCCACGAACATAAAAGCAGACTCTTGAAGACGTTGATGGGGTTAGATTGATCTCCATTTTGGGTAGATTGCTGTCAACATATCTATCCTCTACTACCACTTCTTTTTCTTTTCTTTTTGGTTACATTTTACTAATTCTTTGTGTTGCTTCAAGCAATTCCCCCTAACACCCAACCCTCCTTCCGTTGTGCTTTGTTGTCTTATTTGGATAAGCTCGAGGGAGCATACATAAATGTAAGATTGATGTTTAAGTCGCAGCTTGCATTGTCAAACTACAAATTATGTGTTTTAAATTGATAACGGTAGTGTAGGAATGTGTAGCATATGGGTCGATCATGAGGAGTTAATGAACTAGGATTAGCTCTAGAATATGGTCTAGCCACGGGAATTCAATCAATGATGATTTTTATTAAAATAGATTAAAAGTAATGACAAACATAAAAATGAAAGCTAATGAAGATGGGGTGATGCCATTAGTATGATACAAACATCAAAAAGAGGCATTTAAATAAACCAAAAGTTCTCCGGTATAGGTCCCTAAGTATTTTCATGTTAGGACATTAGTCATCAACCAATTTGGCTTAAATCAAAAATCAAACTTTCTTCCATATTCCATTTAAACGAATTAACCAAATATTAGATTACAAACCTAATAACCACATAGCAACTTTACTTGGTTGAAAATTCGTTATAAAATCAATTGATTAAAACTAAAACTTTAATCGAAGACAATAGAACCCTATTCAAATGAAAACTAGACTACGAAAAACAAAAATAAATCTCTGAGGAGGGTTTTTGCACTCGTAAAAGACGGCTAGGAACAAGAATAAGATCGAGATAGGGTGCGGATAGGTGGAATGGAATCGCTTTAATGGATCCCGAAAGAGACGGGTGCAAATGGAATAAGAGAACAACAAAATTACTCTAAGAAAACTTTAAAGACAGATTCAAAGAGTATCACTCTCCAAAAATCCATTCTGAATCTAATAAAGCAATAAAGAGATTTTAAGACAATGCAAGAATTAATATACCAGAAAATAAATAAAAAACAACTAAAAATAAAATGCAATTAAACTTTATGTATGAACAATTAAAGTAAAACATAAACTTAAAAAGATCGGAGAATAGTACAATACAACGGATGAGAATAGCCCCCACCGCTCTACCCCTTGCCACTCTTCTACATATGATTTCCATCAAACTCACTTCCACCAATTTTCTTTGGGAGAAGTCCAAAAAAAACCCAATGGACTTTACTGTTTGGAACGATTAAGTCCTTAGACAATTTTTTGGAACAAATAAATCCTTGGACATTTTAGAACCTGTTAAATAAGTCATTGGACTTTACAAAACCTGTTAAATAAGTCCTTCGACTTTTTAAAATCTGTTAAATACATTTTGTTAGTGGAAAAGGTACGAAAAAACCAGTGGATTTTCATATTTTGAACGATCAAGTCCATAAATATTTTTTGAATGAAAAAATTACTTACAATCTTATGCTTGGCAACATGATTAAGCATGAACACTTTGACGCTCCTGTTTCTCATCATGTATCTTCACTCTACAATCTTTCATTTTCTTTATCTCATGTTGAATCTCCAACCATAATTGGAATTGGTCTTGTTTTAATTATATGCCCATTTCAAACCCTTATTTATTTTACCATCAGAATTCAGATACACATTACTAATTAATTACCTTTCATATAGGTCAACCATGCTGGATCCACCCAAAGTGTTGAGGATTCAGAGAAAAGCCTCGTATTTAATTCGGCTGGCGATGATCCTTGGAAGGAGGAAGATACTGCTCTCAAGCCTTGCTGGTCTAAACCAGATTTGGGTCAGTGCTACACACTATCTGAAACTAATCTAAACATTTTCATTGATGTCTATTTCTAACGTCACTTCTTTGAAATCTTATAGAAGAGGTAGAAGAATCTAAAGGATTTGTCACTTTTTCATTAACCAACGGACCCAAATACCATGTCTCCCAGGTATTTGATAAAAGTCCAGACCTACACCTGCTACCTTTGCTTCTAATTATGTCTTAATTACCTTGTTCCTTACCCTGGTTTCGCTCTAATTTCATCTGGAATGGTAAATGAGTGGTGGGATTTCCTTACAAACAAATTGTATTGGTTTCACAAAATTGAGTTAATGAAGTCTGCACAGAGAAAGGAAGAAAGGGAAAGGAATAGAAACAAAAGAAATCAACACATTTCATTCTGTTTCTTATGTCAAAATCATGTATTGCAACCTTTTGTCTATCGTTGTGTTTCATCAAATCTTAACCATGGTGATTGTAAACCTCAGGTTACTACCTAAGGGCGACACTCGTGATTCCAGACATAAGGGGAAGCCAACCTGGTGATCGGGGGTGGTGCAATAGCGACGAGGGTGGTGCGGTGGTGGTGCGACGGCGATGGGGGCGAGGGAGACAATGGTGTGTGAGGGAGAAGGAGACGGGAGGGAGCGGTAGTCATGAGAGGGAGGAGATGAGTAGTCAAAAGTTTTTAGGATTTTTTAAGTTTTTTTTTTTTAATTTAAGGTTACCTTATATTCAAGTTACAGGTTACAATTTTAAGGAATGGGGATCTATTTAACATGTTTTAAAAAGTCCAATGACTTATTTAACATATTTTAGAATGTCCAATGATTTATTTGTTCCAAAAAATTGTCCACAGATGTAATCGTTCCAAACAGTAAAGTTCATTGGGTTTTTTTTGGACTTTTCCCATTTTCTTTTATGGAAACATCAATTATTACCAATTCTTGAACTCAAGATTATCTCAAATATCTTGAGGGTTCTTGTTCCCCCACCCCTCTCAATATCGATCAAACCCTAAGAATGCTTCTTCACTCTTCATTATCAAAATAAGCCATGGCTGCTATAATTGGTTGCAAAACCGCTCAAGAAATTTGGGTTACGCTTGAAGCCACCTATAACCATATCTTCGGCTCTCGAGAATTAAGTCTTCGTGCTGATCTCCAATTTCTTACCAAGAATTCTCCTAGGGTTCAAGATAATGCACGAAGATTTAAACAAATATGTGATCAACTCATGGCAAATGGAAAACCTATTGAGTCTTTCTATCAATCGTGATGGTTTTTACAAGGCGAGGTCTTGCATTTGCGCAATTCTCCATGGCTCAGTTGGCCCTAACTCTGGTACTTTAGTTCTCTGACTTGGTCCACCATGTCGAGGCACACGGAATTTTTCAAAGAAAGCTATCTCCGGCCGCACCTACCATGGCAGCATACTCCGCCACAACCGCTGGCCGAAATCAATCAAACCACAAGACAACCCATGGAACTTCTTATGATCGAAGCTTATGTTATCGTCGAGGGTATCTCGTCGGGGTTCAAACTGCGGATACTCTCGGTCCAATAAAAAAAAAGGTTTAATGGCGGGGACCTCATGGCCCCGTGGTCCACATTTTGTGAACCCTACTTGCCATACCTCATAAGCAAGCATCGGAAAAGACAACCTGTCCTCCCCTGGAATCGAACCCGGGTGGGCACGCCCAAGGCAAGGCATTTACGGAAGGAGGTGGCCACTAGGCCAAGGCCTAATGGTTACTCTCGGTCCAATAAGCAAACCAATGTCCCGACTATGTGCTTACTGTTCATAACGCCAATGCAAATCTAGCCAAAAATTTCAACACAAACTGCTCTCTTTCCGGTACTGCCTTTTTTTATTGGTATCTCGACTCCAGTGCCTCAACACATATGACTCCATCTACTTCTAGAAACGACGCCCCTTATCAAGGTGAAAACTATGTTATTGTCTGGAATGGGCATCCTCTATGAATCACTCACATGGGCTCATGTCGTATTAATTCTACCATCACATTAAACGACATTCTTATTGTTCACAATGAACGCGGAACCTTCCATCTATTAGTCGTCTTACAAAAGATTTTCCGGTAACCGTAATCTTTTGTGATTGTTATTCAGAATCAATGGGACGGCAAAAAGATAGCCATGGGGCACCATGATGGAGGATTGTATCGCCTACGGACGGCCAACAATGCGTTTATAGCCAATATACATACAAAAGATCTTTCGGTATCGTTCAAATTGTGGCATTCACGACTAAGGCATGTCAATCTACACGTTATTTCTGTTTTACACAATAAAGGTCAAATTAATGTTTCTTCTATTATACCATCTCCAAAGACTTGTCAACCATGTCAATAAGATAAAAGTCATGCTTTACCCTTTACATTGAATGAAAAAAAGAGTGTCTCATGTATGAGATCTTGTTCATTGTGACATTTGGAGTCCTGCTCCACTCACGTCCTTTGAAGGCTTTTTATATTACATTCCATTTTTTATAGACGACCACTCGCGATTTATTTGGGCTAACCCTCTAAAACTAAAATCAGATACATATGATGTTTTTTGTCAGTTCAAACATTCATGGAAACTCAATTTTCACGAAAGTTAAAAAATTTCGAAGCTATGGTGGCGCAGAATTTAATAGTAATCGGTTTCAAAAGCGTCTATCCGATCACGGTATAAAACATCAATAGTCGTGTCCTCACACTCCAGCTCAAAATGAACGGCTCTCACCATCTCTTTCGTTTCGAGGTGCCTATGAAATACTGGCTCTTCATTTTCTTCATTGTTGCCTATATGATCAATAGGCTACCAACGACTATTTTAGACCAAAAATCTTCATATGAAATTCTTTACGGTCTTACACCGTATGTTCCACCCCTACGGTTGTCGGGTCTATCCATGCCTCCGGGACTACATACGCAACAAATTTACGCCCTGCAACCGTCCTTGTGTTTTCATGGGATATAGCACCACCTACAAAGGCTTCCTTTGTCTCGATCCTAACACATCCCGATTTTATGTTTCACACCATGCAAAGTTTGATGAGGCATGTTTTCTTTTCACGATCATAGAAAACGTATATTCACTCAACAGTCTACACTACAACACCTTTCTCGATCCCCTATGCATCATCGCATCACTTGATAAACAAGAGGCACCCAAGGCTGCCACCCCTATCACCGTT